GGGGGGGGGGGGTGCAAGGAAGTGGCTGCAGGCTCGTCCCCCTCTATTCAGCCCTGGTTAGGCCTCACCTGGAGTCCTGTGTCCAGTTCTGGACACCGCACCTCAAGAAGGATGCTGACCAATTGGAACAAGTTCAGAGGGAAGGGCAACAAGGATGATGATCAGGGGGCTGGAAAACCAAGACCTTTGAGGAGGAAAGATGGAAAGAACGGGCTCTGTTTAGCCTTGAGAAAAGGGGAGAGCCCTTTTCAAATCCTCGAAAGGCTGTCCTAAATAGGAGGGGCAGGATCTGTTCTCCATCATCCCAGAGTGCAGGACACGCAACAAAGGAATCCAGATTTAGGCTGAAGATCAGGAAAAACTTCCTAATGGTTAGAGCAGTACGCCAGTGGAATCAATGACGAGAGGTGGGGCGCGCTCCAAGGCTCCAGCCCTCTGTCCGATCTGCTTTGATTTGGGTTCCTGCCTTGGGCAGGGCGGGTTGGACTGAATGGCCTTAGAGGCCCCTCCCAGCTCCATCATCCTACGGTTCTGAGGCAGTAAGACAGATGTAGAATCCCAAAGGTGTTGGTGCAGGCAGATCTCTCTTTGGGAGAGAGGAAGAGACGTGGGCGAGAGACTGCTGACCCCACTCAGAGGACGGAAGCCGTAAGCCGTGGGGGTGGGGGGCCCTTCTCTCTCTGCCAAGGCTGCCCTCCTGGGGCTGGGGGCTTCTGGTCCAGGCCTTGCCCCTCTCCTCTGCCTCCAGCTCCTCTGCTCGAGAGAGCAGGATGGCCTCTGGGGGGGGGGAAGGACTGAGGGGCTCAGGCCTCTTCTTTGGTGCTCCGTCTAGGTAGGAGGCAAGATGGATGAGAACCGCTTTGTGGCCATCACGAGTTCAAATGCTGCCAAGATTTACAACCTTTACCCTCGCAAGGGCCGCATCATCCCTGGGGCAGACGCGGATGTGGTCGTGTGGGACCCGGAGGCCACCAAGTAGGTCGTGGGGCTGGAAGGGAGGGCCCGGGGAGGGGAGCAGCCAAGACACAGAAGGCAGGCAGGCTAACCAGGACAACGGGGGGCGGGGGGAGGACACATTCCAACCCGGGTTCCTTTGCAGGAGGCAGAGAGCGATCCGGGGGTGGCTCTGGGCAAACACCCACTGCCCTGTCACAAGAAGGAGCCATGAGCTGGTCCTCCTCGCTAGCCACCCTCTTTGTCTCGTAAGGGAGCGGAGGAGTTGCGGAGAGCTTGCCCACTGCCCCTGGCCCCTCCCCAGACGTTCCGAGGTTTGCCCTCCTGCAGGATAGGCGGTGAGGCCGACCCTACTTGGCCCCTTTCTCTGAATTGCGTTGTTCTTCTCTTAAGGAAGGCTTGCATCCTCCCAGTATCTGTCAGAGTATGGGTATGAGCATGAAAAGGCTAGGAAGAATGGGCAAGAAAGAGAAACACAGCCTGAAGCAGCTTTTGGGGGTAATTAGCAAGCGGGAAGGGGTGGGGGCTTTGTGTTTGGTGTTGCTAATTCATTCCTAGTCTTTCAGCCTCAGTTTCCACCCTGAATGCTCAGAAAGACGGGGAGATGCTCCCCCGGTGCCCACCGAGGCCTGAGATTCCAGAGATTGAGGGGGGGGACTGAGCACTGCCCACCCCCCAACCCCGTTTATCACCCCGGCTGTGCGGAGCAGCCGGCACCCTAGAGGAGGACTCAGGGTTCCCTGCTCTTCCCTAGGACCATCTCGGCCGGCACCCAGGTCCAGGGTGGCGATGTGAACCTGTATGAGAACATGCGCTGCCACGGTGTGCCGCTGGTCACGATCAGCCACGGGCGTGTGGTCTACGAGAATGGCGTCTTCATGTGCGCCGAGGGCACCGGCAAGTTCTGCCCGCTGCGCTCCTTCCCGGACTCGGTCTACAAGAAACTGGTGCAGCGGGAAAAGGTATCCCTGAGGAATGGACGAAGGGGGGGGGCTGTGCTTGGAGGGTGGCCGTGTGGGAGGGAGCTTCAGGCGTGGCACCACCCGGTCTGGCCACGGCTCACAGGGTTCTGGCCGCAGCAGCAGCAGCAGCAGCAGCCACTGCAGTTGACAAGGTGGAGGTGAGTCACCCGTCGGGAGCAGCCAGGGAGTCCAGGACCTGGAGGAGGCGTGGGGCAGGGCGGGGGGCCTCTCCCCTATGGGCAGGGTCTCCAGAAGGCGCACCTGGGGCACCTCCTGGCAGGGGAACATTCTGGCCGCCAGTTCACCCAGCAGGTGCTGAGGAGAAGGCCGGCCGGGCGCCTGGGACTGTTTGCAAGGCGAGGCGAAGGAGGCCCTGCCGGGGCAACGGCCTCGAACCCGCTGGCAGAACAGCATCGATGACAAAGATGGCTCGCGCACGACACACAGAGAGGGTGGCGGCCTGCGGTGGGCACCACATCTTTGGCTTTGCGGGGGCCGTGCCACAGGTGCCACGGCCATCCTCCGAAGGAACGCGGGCAGAACCCGAGTCAGAAGTCAGGGCCAGGGAGGGAGGCCAGGGAGGTGGAAAGAACTGGTGCTTCAGCCTTGGGGATCCTCAAGCTCACCAATTCCCCACTCCAAGGACCCTCCTTCTGCAATACTCCCACTCTCCTGCTCTGCGGGGGGGGGTCAGTGTTGAAGAAAGAGCGTGTTGGCCAAGTCTAGACCCAGAGCGGTTGCGGAGACCTTTCCAGGTGGGTCCCTCACACCCACACACACACACACCCCACACACGGCTGGGTCAGGAGGCCCATTCCCATTCAGACGCCCAAGGAAGCCTTTCCAAATGCTTGCCCTGCCCTGCCCTTTGACCCTTCGGCCCCAGGGTGGCTTGTTCTCCTGCCGAAGAAGGCCCCTCCCCGGCTTCAGCCTGACCAAGGGACCGTGTGGGGCTGAGCAGGGAAGGAGAAGGAATCCCACACCAGGCAGAGCCTCAACCCCCCTTCCCGCTGCCTGCCCCTCCCTCAGTTGCCCCCAAAGGCCCCCCTAATCCTGATCCTTCCCCCCCCCCATATAAGCCAGCTTTCATTTTTAGTCACATACCATGTGTGGTTGTTGTTGTTGTTGTTGTTGGGGGGCATGGTTAGAGAAGGAAAAGAGGTCAAGGGAGTGAGGAGCCTGGCCAGTATTTCTAGGAAAAGGGGTGGAAGAGGGGGAGGCAAGGGTCAATGGGGCCAGAAACCATAACCACCACCACCCGTTTCTCCCATGCCATATCACAGGCTTTTGGGTAGATGATAATGGGGACACATGGAGGGGAACCCCCATTACTTAACTTTGGAGGTCATGGGGGTGGGGGTGGGGAGAAGGAAGAGGGTCCCCAAGGCCCAGGTTTACGTCAGGTGCCCTGTGGGTCCAAGCCAGCAGGTACTTTCAGACCTAGAGGGTCCCTGTGCAGGATCTGGATGCAAGGTGGAACCTGGTTTGGGCACATGCCCCTCTCAAATCAGCCTAATTAAAAACAAGGAGGCGTGTGCAAGACCCACCTTGGCCAGGGGGCAGCAGCCTTCTCCTCCCCCCCTCCAAATTCTCCTGCGCCCCCTACTTTTTCTCATGCCCAGAAAAAAAGTCTCCCTCCTCCATGGAGAGTTTTTGCAGGTTGCCTTTTGGGGAGGGGCTGTGTATTTACGTTGTGCGTTTATTTTTCAAATCAGAGTTTAAAGCTTAAGGGCGTGGACCGCACCCCATACCTGGGGGACGTAGCCGTGGTTGCGCACGCTGGGAAAAAAGAGACGGGGACACCACTTGCAGACACCCCCACCCGACCTGCCACGAGACACGGGGGCATGAGGGACCTCCACGAGTCCGGTTTCAGCCTTTCCGGTAAGAGCAGGGCTGAAGCGGGCGGGGGGACGCACCCCCAAGTGGGAGATCCTGCTCCTCCCTGCGCAACCCCACGCCCTCGCCCGCCCAGCCACCCACTGCA